ATAAATACTCAATTAGGAAATACCATATTTTAATGTCACTGGAGCACATATGTACTTATCTAGCCACGCAAAACCTGATATGTCATTTGCTAATCAGTATGATATAGATTTTTACCAACCTAAAGATGATGAAGTGAAGTTAGGAACATTTTTCGTTACTTTAAAGATATCGTGGATGTGATATTATTTTATCTAAAAGTATCCAAGACTAATCTTATTGGCTATGTAGATAAAGTATTTTCGTTTGATTCTAATGTTGAGAGATCACATTATGATCCATGTGTGGGTAAACCATAAAATAATGATTTGTCTCATGATTTTTAGAAGATTATGAAATTCATATTTGACATTTTTATCTCACTACAATATTTGGAAGGCTTGTTTGTTATATTAGACTTTGCAAGCTCAAAAATGTCAACTAATGTTGCCAAGAGAGGGAGTTGATATATGCTGTACTTTTTTTCCTTACCTATGGTTTTGTCCCACTAGGTTTTTTTAGCAAGGTTTTTAATAAGACAACATTGTATAATATATCAATGAATGATATACTCTTTTTCTTTCGCTAGATTTTTGTCCCATGGGATTTTTCTAATTGAAGTTTTTTAATAAGACACATTCATATATATTGGACATTCAAGAAGGAGTGTTATGAATATAATAATATTTTTATGGATGTCCATATATCTTCTATTATTTCATATATTTTTTATGATCTTTAATATCTCTTATTATTTTTATATTTCACAATTATCTTCTATTATTCTGTAATCTATAGATTTTATTAACGATGTAAAATTGTGCCTATAAATAGATGCCATATATAATATATTAAGTATTTTTGAATGGGATGAGAAATACTCTCTCTTATTGATTATCTCTTCTTCTCTATTTTTTTTATTTATAACAGAGGAGATATTTTTTTTTGCTAAGCACAAATATTATTTTATTAGATGTGGAGTGGGATTCGAATTTGATTCGTGAGTAGGAATATTAAAATATCACAAAGAGAGAACAATCAGAGAAAACACGCAATTATGCGCACGCGATTGTGGCCGCCATAAGCTGCGGGCAGAGCTATCAACTTTGGCCAAAAAAATCTCAATCCCAGCTGGCAATCTAATTAATCGAAAGGGGATTATCGCTGGTAAAGAAAATAACTGAAAGGATGTATCATTTATCCCAATAATCGATGATAAAGTATACTCGTTGTACCACATTAAATAAAATTATATTTTTATTTTGTTGCGGTAGGTATGTAATGGATGATCATGATTTTGTTTTGTTAAAAATATTTATTGTATTGTTGTTTGACTACAATGATTTACAAATAAAGACCCCTAAATTATCAAAATTACACAGAGATTACCTGAATAAGTAAAATTACCATGAGGGACCAGTTCCATATTGTAAATATGAAATCTTTGTAAAATGTCTAAAATGCCCCTAAGTCAAATTGTAATTTGGTCTACTAAAGTTGTCATCTGCTAAAATAAACTTGTTATTTCCCATAGTCAACTTGTTATTTGGCATACCTTCAATCAAATTGTGATTTGATCTACTGAACTTGTTATTCGTTAAAGTGAACTTGTCATTTCTTGTAGTCAACTTGTCATTTGACTGAGGGGTATTTCAGACATTTCAGCAAGATTTCATATTTACAATATGAGATTGGGTCCCTCATGGTAATTTTGCTCATTCAGGTGACCTCTGTGTAATTTCAGTAATTTGGGGGTCTTTATTTGTGATTTTTCCTATTTTTATTTTGTTGCGGTAGGTATGTAATGGATGATCATGATTTGTTTTGTTAAAAAATATTTATTGTATTGTTGTTTGACTACAATGATTTATTTTATTTTTCTGAAAATAAATATACAACAATTATGTCCTGATGTGATTACTACCATCATTATTATTTTATCTGAAGAGATTACTATGAGATCTTAACCAGTTCTTTTAAAAGTATTCCTCCGATCCTTAATATAAAACTTATTTAACTAATTTGATTAAATTAAAAAAAGTTAGATAAGTTAGTTAACTATAATAAATATGACGTGTTTGTTCTAAAATGCCTTAATTATCTTTATTATATCCTCCCTCCCTAAGATAGGTGATATTGATAAAATTGATAGATATAAAAAAATAGGTCTTATATTTAGAATCAAAATCAACTCCATAATTAGATGTTATATTATGGACTGGACCAGTAATGAATATGTAAAGAATAAAAAATGTACTACTTTTTTTTTCCAAATAAACAAGAGAAAGAAACAATGAGGAAAAAGATGAGAAAAAGTCTGGGAAAAGGATACTGCATTTAATTAGGACTAACATTAATAAAAATGTATTTAATGTTAAGACAATTGCAAACTGAATCTTATATGAAAAGATTGGATTAACTCAAAATTCTGGATGATTGAATCCTATAAAAAAGACCGAAAGAAATAATTAATAAAAAGTTCTAATAATAAATTAACAACACAATGGTTTTGTTTTTCTTTTTACCGAAACTTGCCATTTAATGCGACAAATGAAGTGAGGTCGCGGCTACGGTGGACAAGTCTTCAGTATATTGGTCCGCCGAGGACATTTTCGTGGTATCGTTAAAACCCATTTTAGAAGAATTATGAGTTCTATATCCCGTATTGTCAAATAGAAACGGAGGTGTGTGGCCCACTTCCCTTCCTAGGGGGAGGGGATTTTAAATTGTTCATGCGAAAAAGAAAACAGACAGCCAATTAACCAAAAACTTTTCACGGGCTGTTATTTCTTTATTCTCTCTTATACTTTCTCTTGCTTATAGATAAAGATATCTTTAAAAAAAACTTATAATTTTTACATATTTATTAATTTAAACTAGTTTTAATTAATTTTTTATTTTATCTAATTTGATCATATGTTTCTTATAAAGAGAAAAAAAGGAAGCAGATGGCAATTATGTTTTTTTTTTCCTTCATATTTTGTCAGTTGTCACTTAAGGGCGTTGAAATAAATGCATTTTTCTAATCTTAAATTCAATTATTTACGCTTGACCGCTTGAGTAACCTCTTGAATTCGGGAACTAGTTAGCATCATAATACTTATCAACTTTTAACCATTCAATTTTAATATGGACGACCGATATTTAATATTTTTATTTTTTAAAAAGTATTTTTTTAATAGGTACATAATTAAAAATAAAAAAGTCTCTTAATTGTAAGTTTTTTAAAAATAAATTTTTATTTAAAATTAGTTGTTAAAATTTTAAATTTAAATTATTAAAATTAATTTTAATAGTTTAGATTTTATCATACCATAAGCATCATGATACACAATTAAATTGGTTCCCTCGAACCTGTCCTGTCAGTGGATGAGTTTTCAATCTAGTGGGTCCACACGTACCCATTCGGTGCTTATCACTCAAAACATCCCCATTTTGAGTGCTGGGCAACAAACATTTGTTTTTTTTTCAACGTTTTTCCTTTCTTTTTTTTTCAATGTATTATTTTCTTAAGCACAAGCAGCCTTTCAAAATTTCCCAATATATTTGTATTTATCCATATTTTTTACTTCACCCAAACATTACTGGAAGATATCCTCTTTAATTTAATTACTTTTTAACTTTATTCATGTTTAATATATATATTATGATAATAATAATTGATCTAACGATAATACATGAAGAATACAAAATTATACATTTATATAAAAAATTTAATGATTTAACTTATAAATAAGACCGAATTTTTTTCTTTAAATAAATAGGACCATATGAATATTTTATCATTTAATTAGAAATATGATTAGCTATTACTACTTTAGTCTTTCATATAAGAGTTAATTTAATATTTTATTTGGTTTAAATATAAAACTTTAATTCTTTTTGTATCTTGTATTTATCTATTTTTTTTAAGCTAGTCCTTGTAATAGTTGTACATATTAAATACTTCATCAAATTATAGATTTAGCTAATACGCATGATTAGTAAAAGTGTTTCAGGAAAGATAACACCTATTTATTAAAAATAACTAACTTAACTAATATTTTTAATTTACCCAATCAATTAATTAGTTTTTATATTAAGGACCGGAGATAATATTTATTTTTATTCTTAACTCTTCTTCTTAATAAACGGATAATAAATCTATAAATTTTTGGATAAAGTAACATCCAAAACTGATATTATTTGTAAGCAGTATCTAATATTTTAATCTTATTTATGGTATATTTAATTTTTTTATCCTGTATCTTTGAAATTATTTTTCAGTTACATGAAAGACCACAATATTATTTATGATTTAGAGGTGCTAAATACATTATAAATAAGATTAGAGTGTTAGATGTATCACATATAACATTAGGGTATTGGGTATATAAATGAAAAATAGTATAAAGATACTAAATACTATTTTACCCTAAATTTTTTCACACACCAATATCATTTTATTTAATTTGGATACTCTCTTAATAATATCCGATCAAGTGAAAAAAAACTAAAGATGAATAGAATCAGATTGAGAAATTTTGGGACACTACTGCAACTTGCATGTGATAAGAAAGAAAAAAAAGAAAAAAAAATTTGGCTGCCCAGCGCTCAAAATGAAGAATTAAGGTTTAAATGGAGAGGAATGTGGAAAGAGGTTTCTATAGAAAAGTGGTTTCGGGGTGAAAAAGTGTGTTGAGTGGATTATATATATATATTTTTAACATTGAATGTTTGGCCTGATGTAAAGGAATTAAAATAGACAAATGACATGAATTGGGTCTTCAAAATGCTTTTTTCTTTGCCAAAGGGTCTTCAAAATGATTGGGACTGTTTGGTTTTAATATAGAGTAGGAGGCTAATATTTTTAAGATAAATACGTTTAACTATTTATACAAAAATAATTATTCAAAAAATTCAAGATTAAACTGTTTTACACAAAAAAAGAGATGAAACAGTCAAATTTTCATATTAACCTAAGGTTAATGGACAATACATTTTAGTAATGAGGTTGAGTTTAGTAAAATGAACTAGTCTTTCATAATATAATAAACTAAGGGTAAAACTTCTGTTAGAATCTCGAACATATCTTCAATAGAATGATACCTCTATTTACTAGAAGAAAAAAAAGAAGCACTTTATATTTTTTTTCCTTGGCAGGAAACATATTTTCTCAAGACATGTTGTGAAGGGGGCATCAATTTATAGGCAAATTACATGATGTACTCCAATAATAATTTCATTTTTACTATATAATAGGTAAAATAGTTGATTGGCTTGGAACCTAAATAATTGGCACCTCTAGTTGGGACCCAAAAACAGATTCCAAGGGGTCCACTAAGATATTTTTAGTCAAAAGGTTGTGGTCCTTTCCCATTAGATGACAATATTGAATTTGAACCATAAAACAGAGATAAGGATAGCTTCTCAGCCCCTTACTATTTCCCTCAGAATTATTTGCCCTTTCATAAAACAATTGGACCTGGTCAAAATTTTGGTAGTGAACTACTGAAAGATTTAAGATCAACTTTATTGTAAAATTTAATTGTGACTTGTTTTGTATTTTAAAAAAAAAAGCTGACAATATAAATTTTTCTTTTTTATATATTTTCTACATTATACACTTACTTGTGTGAAAATTATAAATTATAAATATAAATATGTATAAATTAAACCTTTTTTTCCCAATGAAGATAATGGATTTTTACAACCACTCAACAGTAAAATAAAACATTACTCCCTCCGTCCTTTTTTTTTTTAATGAGAAACAATCTTTCTCACAAAGAGGTTTTCTAAATAAAGGAAATAAATCCTTTTTGTCTGAAATTTTAAATTCATTTTTTACATTTATTCCGTTAAATATATGCTACTTATTATCTCTTTGCAATAAAGTTTTATTCATTATCTCTCATATACTTTCTTTACAAAGAAAAATATACTCCCCTGGTCCTACTTATAGGGCAGAGAGAAAATATTTTTTAGTCGTATTTATAAGACACTGAGAGAATTTTTTATATAGATATATAATTTTACTCTTTATTTATTATTGTATTGATTTAGTTTACATAAGGTATAATATATATTAAATAAAGACAAAGTTGAAAAGTTATTAAATTTTAAATAAAAGTTAATGAAGTTTAAGGTTTTTCTTAGTTTGTGTGAAACATATTAGAAGTGACTTATAAATAGAACTAGAAGAGTAATTAGAAATATATTCCCTTCGGTCCTATATATAAGCTTCAAATAACCGAATCATGTTTATCGAAAGAGCAGTTAAAATTGGTTTAAAATAATAAATAGGTTAGAAATGTTTTTTCCCTCAAATTTGTCTCTATTTATTAAGGGAGTAAATGAGAAAGGCAATAAATAAAAAATAATAAAAGAGAATATATTGGATAATATTAATGAAAAAGAGGGGGTACTCAATATAGTCAACTAAGGTTAAAATAGGAAAAATAATAATAAATGCTCAAACAAACTAAAAAATAATACTTATTTTAGATCAGATCTCTCTCTAAAAATGAAGCTTATACACAGAAACGGAGGGAGCATACACTATCGCTTTTACTAAATTTGACTAACATTTTAAAGTTCGTGATTTTGGTAGTTGTTTTACAGAAGGAGCATTAAATACATCACATACTAACTAATTAAATGCTAAATCCCACCAAATAGTGTTACCATATGTCAATTCATACGCAAACATTTGGACTTTGAACCACCCCCTTCTCAAAAATAAACGTCATCTGTAGAAAAAAAAAAAGTTCACTATCTTGAAAGTAGACGCAAAAGTAATAAATTAAGGTTGTTGGCTTAAATGAGAAGAACGTAATAATAGAATACACAGATACACATTAAGATTAAGGATTCAAAACCTTTTTAATAATATATATACACATGCCAATATATATACAACTCTTTTGCTGAATACTTTGTTTTGGTTCTTTATAGAAAAACATACTTGTTTCTTAAAAATATCTAGGTAAATATTAGGGTTAATCGTTAAAGAATACATAATTATTACTGGTAAATATTTTGATTGATTTTTTTTTATTCTTGTGATTTGGTTAAATTAATGAAGTATAATCACAAAATGAAGGCATAGAATGCTTAATTGGGAGAATAGTCATGGCACCACACGCACACACACGTATATATACTCCTTCTATGCTTATTATAAGACCCAGTAACTAATTCACACACATCAATATCAATAATACACATTAAAACTATGTCTTAGCTTATAAAAAGTATTAAGAATTTTTTTTAGAAGGACACCTATAATAAGGACTATATATGCACATAGAAACCCAACACAAAGTCTCAAACTAGTGGGAATAGTCAAAATCGCAAAACATTCCATCCAGAAAAATACGTACATTTACAATAGCTATGCTTTCTCCAAGACTGATTTCTCTTCTCTTCTTCTTCTTTCTGATCCTCAACCTAACCCTAATATCTCATCACGGCACCAATGCCCAGCAAAACTTCTTGAAATTCTTTTGCGGTAACAGCACCGTCGACGATGATACCACCAATAGTACCTTCAAAACCAACTTAAAATCCCTTTTATTTAACATCTCTTCCGACACAAAAATCGACTATGGTTTCTACAACTTCTCCTCTGGCCAAAACTCCGACAAAGTCAACGTCATCGGTCTATGCCGAGGAGATGTTAAGGTACAAGATTGTCGCAGTTGTCTCACAGATTCAAGAGTTGTTCTTCTCCAAGTTTGTGCCCCTAACGTCAGAGAAGCAATCGGGTGGTATGATAACTGCTTTCTCCGATACTCCAACCGAACCATATTCGGCGTCATGCAAACACAGCCATATTTCTATCTGTGGAACACACAGGACGCGTTGCAGAAGGACCAGTTCAAGTTTGTGGTGACAGAGCTGATGAAGTTCTTGAGAGAGAAAGCTGCTGCCGGCGACTCTATTCGGAAGTTTGCGGCGGCGAACGCGACGGGGCCGAGCAATCAAACGATATACGGTCTTGCACAGTGCACTCCGGACTTGTCGAGCAAGGATTGCAATATTTGCTTGAATGGGGCAATCTCTGAAATTCCAAAATGTTGCGATGGAATGAAAGGTGGAAGAGTGGTAAGACCCAGCTGCAACATTAGATATGAAACCTACAGCTTCTTCGATCCTGCTGCTTCACAACCTTTCACATCACCGCCGTTGCCACCATCTCCTCCGGTAGTTCTAGATTCCATACCCAAACAAGGTGCGTAGATATTTAAATGAAAAATCACTTAACAGTACGATGTAAATAATCTAATCAATAAAATGAGCAGCATGCAACTGTTGTCATTGTTTTGTATATCATAGGTTGTTACTGCTGACTGCTCACTTGAGTTGAGGTGTGAGCTGCGTTTTGTCAGCTGCCTCCTAGCTACCCGTTGATTTTGGGGTTCTTTTAAAAAAAAAAAAATAGTTTCTTTTTATCATTAGATTTTATGTAAAATGAATTACATTTTAATATTTATTTATAAAAAATAGTTTAATTTTTAATTTTTTTATGATTTTTTAAAGATTTAATACTTTAAGTTAAAAATAAACCAAACCATTTAGGGTATTATTGTTTAAAAAATGATAAAAAAAATTAAAAATTAAACCATTTTTTTATAAGTAAGATATCAAAATGTGATTCATTTTATGTAAAATCTAATAATAAAAAGAAGCTCACAAAAAATATTTGGGAAAAATTCTAACATTAAGAGGTAGCTGACACCCTAATCCCACTCGCTTCTTGTGACACTTTTTATTGATTAAATCGTTTGTGTGTGGTTGGGGATAAAAGGCCTCTTATGCCCACTCTCTAATGCAATAAGCTTGCACACACATACACACATCACTGATCATTAGATTTTTCATAAAATAAGTTACCGACATGAAATGATGTAATTTTGAGCTTTTTATAATTTTTTAAAAATCAAAATTGCATGCTTTTTTAAAGTATTTTTCATCCAAAAATCATAAATAAAAATTCAAAACTGTATTATTTCATATTTAGAACATATCAAAATGTTTTTGATTTCATATATAATCTAATGATCAATAAGAAAAAGAAATGTAACCCAAGAACTTGTTTTGAGCAGGAAAGTGCAACTCATCCCGAGCTATAATTGCCGTGGGAGTCCCAATTATTGTGTTGCTGGCAGTGCTTATCTTTGTGGTCCTACTTAAAGCGAGGAGAGCCAAAAATATTGAAACTAATAAGTCAACAAATATTTCATGTTCTGGTGAGTTCTATACTTACTTAATTTATTTTATATATGTACTTTTCTCCCTTAATTTAATTGTTAGGGTGACAAAAAAAAAGTAATTTTGCTACAAAATATATATCTCCTTTTTATTTTTCAGAAATAATAAAATAAATTGGAATGAAGCAGACACAATTGAATATAATGCAAGAGGTCCCAAGAATTTATATTATATTTACATGTTAAATTTAACAACTTTTATTTCAGCTCAAAAAAAAAAAAACTTTTATATTTATAAGTAAAATTTTTCTGGGTTAAGTTCACAAAAGGCCTATAACAGGGACTACCACGAAAAATTAAATCCGTTTGGGCTAAAACTATTTATGTTTGCCCCAGCCAGGCCTTGGTTCCAGGCCATTTCAAATTGGACCGAATTACATCTCTCATTCACCCCATAAAAAGTAAATGGGTCCACTCGAACCAAATGTCATAAAATAAATGGACGTTAACTACACTTATATCCTTGCCTTTAAAAAAAAAAAAAAGCCTTTATAGCATCAAATCCGTATGAGGGAATATTTCACGGGTAGATTTGCATATTTAATCTAATATTTTTCTTATACGAGTGTGCTAAATCTAGCCATAAAATGGATCATAATTGTTGACTTGTTACAAATGGAGATAAGTGGATTTGGGTGTTTGGCAGTTTTAAAAAGTACTTTGATGCAAATCGAGATACTACTTTTGGTTTTAATTATGAGACTTTATTTTTAGATATAAACAATGTCTTCTAAATAGGACCAGAAGTAATAAAATTTATCTCACATGCTTACTTTGTATATAATAGAATTACTTTTAAAATCATGTTTTGGTTTTTTGCCAAACAAGTAGGATTAATTTTGAGTGGTTGTGTGCAGAGTTAGAGAACGAAGTGCAGAAAGTGAAAGTACAACAAGAACAGAGTAGATTACAACAGCAACAGATGAATGCAGCTTTGGCATTCCTACTCCAAAACTTTGAGGGTCAGCTGCCATCTGAGCTTGTTACCACGGTAATTATTGTCATATTATAAAACTAATTAAATCTTTTACTTTTGTTACTTATATTAATTAATTAATTAATGATTAATGTATATTCTTGTTTATAGGTACAAGATGGTCGATACAGTGGAAATCCAGGAGCCAATAAAACTCAGGCGCCACACTCCAATAAAGATAATTAGCTTAACTGGCAGATCAATGGCAGTATAAATTTGGCTTAAGTTATAGTAGTACTAGTAAGGACTTTAACGTAATTCTAGCCGTTGTAATGGAATATGTATTTGAGTTTTATTACTAGAAAATATTGCAGAACATGCACTGGCCATTTAAACCGATGCGAAGCTAAAAGCTTCCAATGTTTAATTACGGTTCTTGACGTGTGACCATTGGGCTTGATGGGGATAATCATCTTTCCCACTAATTATTTCTTTTGTTTTTCAGATAACCCAAGAAAAAGTGGGCGAGTAAGAATAAGTAGGAAAAAAGGATAATCAATGCTAAAAAATTATTTAAAATTTTAGATGGTTTAAGCGTGTATATTTTTTTTGAGTGAAAATAAAATTATTATTGATAAAAAAATTTACAGAAAAATTTAGAGAGATTTAAAAGTGTATATTATGAATAGGACTATGCTTACTCTAAAATTAGTCATTCTATTTAAAAGTTACTTTTCAACATATTTCATACAAACTGAAATAAATTTTAAATTTTATTAATTCTATTTTAAAATTTAACAACTTTTCAATTTAATTCATATTAAATGTGCATTCTACATACTACATGAATATAAATTTAACAAAATAATAAATAAAGAATAAAATTGTATATTTATATGAAAGGTTTCTCTCTCTTCCCTATAAATAGTGCCAACAAATTTTTTCTCCCTCTTTATCATATAAATAAAAGTAGAGAAATATATTGTGTCTTATATAGAAGACCGAAAGAAGTAATCAATCAGATGTTATACGAAAGAATAGATAGACCCTACTGAAAAAAAAGAGTCAAGGGTGATTTTTAATTGGAAACTACTATCTTTAATTTTTAATATAATAGTTAGATAACTAATTCGTAAATATTAAAAAAATTAGTTAAGTCTTAAAATATTTTTGCTAATATATAGAATAATAAAAATTCTCTAACGTGTATAATCATAATTTTTGTGAGTTTATCAAAAAGATAATCATAATTTTTGTGGGAAAAAACATGTAAAATCATAATGGGGACTATTTTGAGAAAATAAATAAATAAATATAGAAAACAAAATAGATTAAGTTTTTATATTCAGAACCAAATTAAATCTCAAACTAATTTTTATATTTAGTACTAGAAATAGTATTAAGGAACTGTATGTATCTAAAAGTTTTTTTTTACTTAATATCATTTAGGAGGAATGGTAAAAAAACCAACCAAGAAGAGTAAAAACATTAGAAAAAAAAACCAATATTGTCACCTTTTCAGTAAAAAAATTGACATTAACTGAAATATGGCGATATCATTCATTTTTTAATACTTTTAGGACTACATTGAATAAATTTTTTTAATATATTTATAATTTTTTGTGTGAATATTTTGAGAACAAAATTACCTTTCAACCAGAAAATAATTTTTTCTTTTGAAAATTAAAAAAAAAAAACTAGATAGACTTGTGCAGATTTTTTATATGGAGTGTAAGACGGGGTTGCCCTCGCCTTTGTCTTTTTTTCATGGATGACGGATTATTGACTAGGTCGTCCTTGTCCGTCAAAAGCACCATAAATTGGCAAGGTCACAGAGGAGACAATTTTATCGGAAAGAAAAGTCACTGAATAACAAGTAATTAATTAAAATTAGTTTAAAATAATAAATAAAATAGAAATGTATTTTTATTTTTAAATATATTTTTATAATAAATAAGAAAAAGGATGAAAAAGAATGTATAAGAAATCAAAATATGACCAAAAAATAATTAACAACAACATTAAAAAATGTATTAAATATTAAAATAAATTAAAATTAAAATTTATAAAATAGATTATACTCCTTCCTAAATTTGGAACTATAAGATAGAAGGAGCACTTACAATCAACATTGGAAACCTTTCAACTTCCCTCCCCCTCCGCTTTTTATCTCTATCATTAGATGAAATTTAAATACTTCCTCATGTCGTTTTTATAATAGCTCAAAATTTGAATTATCTTGGTTTTTTTTCAAAAGATTAAACTTATGTTTTTTTAAATATTTAATGTGTTTTTTTTTCATTTTGTTTCTAATTAATTTTATATATTGCATTAATTAAATGTTTACTATATTTTCCTTCATACGTTTTATCTCTTGTAATTTTAAACAAGGGTTTGCTTGAAAAAAAGTTCATTGATTTAGTTTGTTTTATAACAAACGAAGGTGAAAAAAAAAAGGTTAATTTATGCAAGGATGACACGCACAAATTGAGAAAAAAGGTTAATTTATTACATATCATTACTTTTAACTAATTTTAATTATTTTTTTAAACCACGTACTTTAGTTATCAGGCTCTTATAAAAACGATCAAAGGGAGTAATTGAGATCTAATATCTTATGAAAAATATTATATTATGAAAGAAAAAATATATAAATAAATTTTTGATAAAAAATATATAAATAATTTTATAATTTTAAAATATGATTTTTGCGGGTGAATTTTTTTTTTGATTTTTTTTATCCTTTGCATTTTTTATAGGTAGTATTTTAACAGTTTAATTATATACATTATTCGATGTTGTAATAATGTTTTTACATGATATTAAATTTTGACCCTTTAAAATTAATCTAGCAATGAAGATAAGAGTTTGATTAATTTAGTCAGCAAGTTTTATAACTAGTTAGAAATGCAATGTGTAAAAGATTGATACTTTAGACAAAATATATTAATTATATTATGAAATATGTCAGCAATCTTGATAATAAACGCGGACACACATTATTGTATGGGGATCTAGCTAGTATTATTATAATTTATTGTATGTAGTTGCTATTTTTAACAGAAGATTTTGTTTATTTGTTTCAATAATACATAAAAATATTTTAAACATCAACAAAATGTTCTAAAAAATTATCATATTAATTATAATTTTCAAAACAATAATATTTGCCACAAAAATCAACATTTGTGACTAATGAAGTTAGGGTTAGATAACTGAAAAAAGTATTTTTAAAAATTAAGGGAACAAACTCAAATCTTATATAGAGTTAGAGAATTAAATGAGTGTTACCTATTTTAAAATATTAATGACTAACCATTTACGCACGTGTTGATAATTCTGCTCTTAGTTCTTACCATTGTCACAATGAGGTTCTTCTCGTTTTTCTTCTTTCTCCTTGCCCAATCAAACTTCTTACAATTCTTCTGTGGTAAGGGGACTAATGATGATAGCATCAAATCCCTATGAGGGAATATTTCACAAGCAGATTTGCATATTTAATCTAATATTTTTCCCATCGGAGTGTGCTAATTCTAACCATAAAATGGATCATAATTATTGACTTGTTACAAATGGAGATAAATGGATTTGGGTGTTTGGCACTTTTAAAAAATATTTTCATACAAATCAACATAAAATTCTTCTCATATACTTATTTTGTATATTATAAAATCACTTTTAAAATTATATTTTGGTTTTTTGCCAAACACGTGGGATTAATTTTGAGTGGTTGTATGCAGAGTTGGAGAATGAAGTGCAGAAAGTGAAAATGCAACAAAAACAAAACAGATTACAACGGCAATAGATGAATGCAGCTTTGGCATTCCTACTCCAAAACTTTAAGGGTCAACTGCCATTTGAGCTTGGTATCACGGTAATTAATACTGCAGAAAAAAAGTTTTAACGGCAGTTAATTAAGGATTTCCATGACGGTTTTGGAGATGAAGTGGATACTATCGACGTTGAAAGAAGAATAAAACACAGCGGTTGTAAATTACCGTGAAAAATTGATTTTTCACAACGGTTTTATAGAAAACAGTTGTGGAAATTGAACTTTCCATGGCGGATTTATTGAAAAACTGCCGTGGAAAGTCATTTTTTCACACGGTTATTAATACAACTGCCCTGATAAATTTGTTTAACGGCCGTTATACAAATAATCACCGTTAAAAACTCAATGTTTTTTTTAAAAATACTACATGAATTTTTTTTACTACCTACCTTCCTGCAGTTTACAAACCAAATCAACCATCAGAGCAGAAGAATATGCAAAACAATTTCAAATGACCATATGAACATTAACATCCAATTCTTATTGAATTACCTAATATATCAACAAATAATTAACTAATTAATAATCAAACAATGAACTAAAATGTAAGGAATGACCTAACTATTTCACATTTTCAAAATTCTCTAGCGATGTTGTTGACAAAATGTCCCTTATCAAGTTGATTTCCTCCATGTCATATGGCACAACTTTTTGGAATGCCTGTAAATAAAAAATGACGTAGTCATTAGTCAACTTGATCAAAAATGTGAAAAGAATTGAAGAATTACATGCAATGTAACCTATATTTACCTCATTTAATTTTTCAGTCACTCTTGTTTCAATGATGTCATTCATATAGCGGATGACATAATATTCACATTCAACACTCTCAGATTGACTACGGTACTAAGAGAATGAAATATAAAATTAAATATTAGACTTTGATTATATAAAAAAATTTATAAACATTAACTTTGATTATTGAAAAGATTTATAAGCATATATTTAGCTCAAAACAACATACTTGTGGGAGAATCCATGTTGGTGGTTGCCTATTTTGCTGCTTGGTCACAACATTAAAACTATGAAAAGCTCTATCAGTAAAAAAAAAAAAAACGTTTTCATAAACTTTACATGTAATAATTATATAAACATAAACTAACGTTCAATGACATCTCTGTTTTCTTTGTTATGACTTCCACGGAGAGAATCAAACTAGTAAACTTTGTTATCAAAAAGGGTACATACAAGTAGGGTCTAATGATAACTGCAAAATACGAACTATGTTAATTATAATCCTATATATATAACTTGTGTATCTCAAATACAACAGTATATTTATCCTTCTACATAAGATGCAAAATATATTTTCTTTTTTAACCGAGTCATTGTGGTCATCATGTAGATCGACCTCACTTTCACAGTATCAGTCCACCTATTTCTTGCCTTCAAGTTCATCAATTTCAACACGGTTGTCAACCTTGTGTAATCATCTTTACATCCTGGATACAAAGGCATCTCTACATCACTACACAAGGTTTCACATGTGAGAGAGAATTATGTAGAGGACCCAGACTATATGTCACGAAACATATCTGAAATTCTATCATAAAGTCTTCATTCAAAACCTTCTCCTTTCTAGACAGTGTAGTCTTTCTAATTTCTTCATGCCAATATCCAATTTGTATACCTCAATTTATCCCATCACAGATAAGATGCTCTCTTATCTCAGGAACACTCCGCCAACTATTGTTTAAGTATTTAACACAAGGACAATAATACAATCCATCTCTTTTACTAGGGGCATTTCTCTAAGTAAACTCAAGAAACCTTTTAACCACATTCTCATATTCTTTGCTAATTCTCTTAGCTTTCATCCAACTATGATCTGTTGTTTTACAGAGTCAATGAGTATAGTTGTCATTACTTTTAAAAATTAGATTAAGTAATTTCTAAAAAAAGAGTCATATATAGTGAATGAGCGAAAATGTTAATAAAAATATATAATTAGACAAACATATATAAGTTTTGTAAAATAGTTAATAATAATTATTTTTGTTATTTTAGTCAAAATCAAAACTATTCTTCATAACATATTTCCACATGCATAAAGTTTTATAAAAAATTTCAATTAATTTAATATAATTTCTTTTGGAACACTTGCCTCTAATTTAATGTCATAGAAAAAATAAAATTAGATTTGTATATAAAATTCAGCTTTTTGTAAAAATAAATTAATACACATACTTAAAGAAATAAATTTTTGTAAAAATATTATTCCCTTTAGGTCCTCCATTCTAATTTCCCTATAACAAATCTCAAATTATTTAAAAAATAGACAAATCAATCAATCAACCAAACCAACAATGTAATAAACAAAGACAGGATAAATTTGAAAAAATATAATAAATAAAACAAAAGTAACAATTCAATCTCAAACCAACTCAATGTAAATATTTTTAGAGTTCAAACTTCTGAATGCAAAACGGGAACACAAATGATATCCATTTACTATGAAATTTTAAACAATACTTTATCATCAATCAAAGTTTATAATGAAATTTTTTTTTTACAAAACACTAAACATATTATTTATTAGTAAATTCTCAAGCTTATTACAAAAAAATACCAAAAATTCGAAATAAAAATAAAAAAATTAAAAGAAATCAAAAACTTCAAAACTAATCAACTTTAAACATTTAAACATGTTTTTAATATCATATATAGGAAGAAATTGAGGTTTTCTAATACCAAATGCCACCAATAAACACCTCAAGCACATAAAAAGCGTAAAATAAACAATGCAAGACATTTAAAATGTAAAATCAGTCAATCGATTTGAAATACAATAGATTTTTATGGTCAAAACATCTAAGAGACCAAGAAAAAAAAAAGAAAATGATACTCACTTAGTGGAGATGATTCAAATGCGAGAAGATGGGTGGCAAAGACGGCGGTAGACAGTGGCAAGCTACCATAAGTGAAATGGAGGACTTTAAATGACAAGAAAGAGGGGAGAATGGCAGGTAATGGCAGTTCAGTGGTGGTGGGACAGAGGGAGACCACAGCGCATTGATGTGAAATGGTGAAAATGTGAAAAACTAAACCCTATCACGGTATATTTTAAAACTTTCCACAACGGTTGTTAATAAAACCACCGTGAAAAGTGAAGCGTCACAGCATGTATTTATAAAAATGTTACCGCTTTTTTTTAGAGTGTTTTTCTTTTTAACCGCTGTTGTTTTGCATCGTTATATGTATTTTTTCTAGTAGTGTAATGTCATATTATAAAACTAATTAAATCTTTTACTTTTGTTACTTATATTAATTAATTAATTAATGTATATTCTTATTTATAGGTGCAAGATGGTCGATACAGTGGAAATCCAGGAGCCAATAAAACTCAGTCGCCACATTATAATAAAGATAATTAATTAGCTTAACTGGCAGATTATTGGCTATACAAATTTGGCTTAAGTTATAGTAGTACTAGTAAGGACTTTAACGTAATTCTAGCTGTTGTAACGGAATATATAATTGACTTTTATTACTAGAAAATATGCAGAATATGTACTGGCCATTTAAACCGATGCGAAGCTAAAAGCTTCCAATGTTTAATTACGGTTCTTGAAGTGTGACCATTGGGCTCGGTTGGGATGATCATCTTCCCCACTAATTGTTTCTTTTGTTTTTCAAATAACCCAAGAAAAAGTGGGCTAGAGAGAATAAGTAGGAAAAAAGGATAATCAATGCTAAGAAATTAATTAAAATTTTAGATGGTTTAAGCGTGTATATTTTTTTTGGGTGAAAAAAACCTTATTAGTGTTAAAAAAATTTACAGAAAAATTTAGAGAGATTTAAAAGTTTATATTATGAATAGGACTATGCTTACTCTAAAATTAGTCATCTTATTCTATTTAAAAGTTACTTTTGAACATGTTTTATGCAAACTGAAATAAATTTTAAACTTTATTAACTTTACTTTAAAATTTAACGACTTTTCAATTTAATCGATATTTAATGTAAATTCTACACACCACATGAATATAAATTTAACAAAATAATAAATGGAGGATAAAATTATATATTTATATGACAAAATTTTCTTTCTTCCCTCTAAATAGTACCAACAAAATTTTTTCTCTCTCTATCTTGTAAACAAAACTAGAGAAATATATTGTGTCTTATATAGAAGACCGAAGGAAATAATTAATCAGATGTTATACGAAAGAAGGGGAAAAAAAAGTCAAGGGTGATTTTTGATTGGAAACTACTACCTTTAATTTTTAATATAAGAGTTAGATAACTAATTCATGAATATTAAAAAAATTAGTTAAATTCATTATTTATAATATATATGTGTTGTTTTTCTTAAAATACTTTTATTAATAATTTGTATTAGAATAATGAAAATTCTCTAACGTGTATAATCATAATTTTTGTGAAAAAAACATCATAATTTTTGTGGGAAAAAACATGTAAAATCATAATGGGGACTATTTTGAGAAAATAAATAAATAAATAAATATAAAAATAAAATAGATTAATTTTTTATATTCAGAACCAAATTAAATCTCCAACTAATTCTTATATTTAGCACCACAAGTAGTATGAAGGAACTGTATGTATCTAAAAGTTTTTTTTTAACTTAATATCATTTAGGAGGAAAGGTTAAAAAAAATACCCAAGAAGAGTGAAAAAAATTTTTTAAAAAAAGAAACAATATTGTCACATTTTCAGTTAAAAAATTGACATTAACTGAAATCTGGCGATATCATTCATTTTTTAATACTTTTAGGACTACATTGAATAATTTTTTTTAATATATTTATAATTTTTTTGTGTGAATATTTTGAGAACAAAATTGCCTTTCCCCCAGAAAACAATTGTTTCTTTTGAACAAAAAAAACTAGATAGACTTGTACAGATTTTTCATATGGCGTGAAAGGTGGGGCGGTCCTCGTTTTTGTCTTTTTCTCATGGATGATGGATTATTGACTAGGTCGTCCCTGTCTGTCAAACGCACCATAAATTGGCAGGGTCACGGAGGAGACGATTTTATCGGAAGGAAAAGTCACTGAATAATAGTTGATAGATGGAGGAGACGATTTTATCGAAGGAAAAGTCACTGAATAACAGTTGATAGATGGCTGGCTCCTTTAAACATATGATATCCTGAGCTAACACCTGGTTTCAACTAAAAAAAATCACTGAATAACAAGTAACTAATTAAAATTAGTTAAAACTAACAAATAAATTAGAAATATATTTTTATAATAAATAAGAAAAATAATGAAATAAAATGTATGAGAAATCAAAATATGACAGGAGAAAAATAATTTAGAACAACATTAAAAAATGCATTAAATATTAAAACAAATTGAAATTGAAACTTATAAAATAGATTATACTCCTTCCTAAATTTGAAACTTATAAATAAGATAGAAGGAACACTTAAAATCAACATTGGAAACCTTTCAACTTCCCTCCCCCCTTCCCTTTTTATCTCCATCATTAGGTGAAATTTAAATACTTCCCCATGTCGTTTTTATAATAGCTTAAAATTTGAATTACCTTACACTTATGTTTGTTTCAACATTTAATTTTTTTTTCATTTTGTTCCTGATTAATTTTATGTATTGCATTAATTAAAATGTTTACTACATTCTCCTTCATACATTTTATCTCTTACTTGTAATTATAAATAATGGTATGCCTGAAAAAAAGTTCATTTATTACATATTATTACTTTTAACTAATTTTAACTATTTTCTTAAACTGTGTAATTTAGTTAGCAGGCTCTTATAAAAACGATTAGAGGAAGTAATTGAGATCTAATATCTTATAAAAAATATTATATTATGAAATAGCAAAAAATACATAAATAAATTTTTTTGATAAAAAATATATAAATAATTTTATACCGTTAAAATATGATTTTTGTAACAACGGTTCTTTCAAAACCATTTTAGATTAAATCCAACAATTTATTTGAAAGATTAACAATGATAGAAAAGAAAAAACCTTAAAATTTTAAAATCATTATCATGGTTAAAAGAAATAAACTTATAATACGAGCAACATCAATTATTAACTTGGGCTTTGGACTTCCAAAGTCCATAAATACTATTCAACTCTTAGCCCAAACCAAACTTATACTTTCCAACATACGAACTGATAAATTATTTTTAATATAAGCTATAGAGCCCATTAGTCAAAAGTCAATACTTTCAAAAGAGTGTCACATGCAGAGTCTGAGATGTCTCTAGCCTTCTAGTGGCCCTATCATACCAGATAGTAGTAATTAGAGGTATTAGTTTACGACACTAGAGTAGATGAGCCCTATGTGGCAATATATAACAAGTTAGCATATAGAACAAAAGCAGGGAGGCTATACAAGTTATAACAGCACACTATGCCTCTGGAGCCTTCTCTGATAGGCCACCACTTGTACTATCACTTGAAGATAGTAAAAACCATGAGGTGAGACAAATGCCTTAGTAACCAACTCTCGAACTCATCATACATACTAACACATGCTCTTGAAGTGTCAAGTGAGACAGTTATTAATTCTCGAACAACATAAATATATCCATAGAAATATAATTTCAATAATCTAAACCCTCACTGTGGGGGCTAACATACAAGCCACATAGGTCTATCCCTCACTGTGGGGATTAATCAGACATATAGGCCTATCCCTTATTCTGGGAGACGAATAAGAAGCCACAAAGGCCTATCCCTCATTATGGGAGACGAAGGAAGAAGCCAACCAATGTGCACCAATGGCGGCCTTACCACGTGGTAGGATAAAGCTCAATCCAAAATCC